AAGGTATTTAATAACTCATTTCTTTATATATCTAAAACTTGAGATTCCATGGACCTGATATATAGTAAAACAACTTACATTTTTGTCTGTTATTTTGGCGGTCATTTTTATATGACACTAAGAGTTGTTACAACAATGTTCAGAAACACTGAATAGTAATGCACATCAAAGGTTTTTAGCGGAGAAAGCTGTTTTTAATTACTCTGTTGAAAAGGAAATTTTAATTTCACTTTGTAAGTTTGTTATTCTTGGGTAAAATAGTTTCTTTTTATAATTGTATGACCTCCTAGGGCACAAGGAGGTGAGAATCATTTCCTTCACTACCAAGTATTAAGCTGTTTCCCCCATTATAGCAGATATGAAGCTGTTAATTAAGGTCTGTACATATTTTTGATATTGTTTATTTTGTCCTTCCACAGGCAGTAGGTTATAGTTGTATGCCCAATAATAAAGATGAAGATGGGCTAGTGGTTTTAGTTTTCAACAAAAAAGAAACAGATATTCGAAGCCAGCAACAGCAATTGGTAGAATCTTTGCATAAAGTTTTGGGAGGAAACCAGACCCTTACTATAAATGTAGAAGGTATTAAAACATTGCCAGATGATCAGTAAGTAGACGTTAAATATATTATTTATTTCTGTGTGCCTTGGTCCAAATAGAGTGATTAACTGTTTTGTTGATAAAGCACAAATTAAATCTCAGAACAGAATGTTATTTCTCAGCTAATGATTTTTTAGTATTTATATAGAAATGTTTAAAAGCTTTTTTTCTTAATCTTGGACTTTGTAACTTATTAGATGTTAATAATTTCTTAGATTTTTCGTTTAGAAACAGGAAGAAACAGTAATTGTGGCTGTGCAAATCAAGGGCCACAAAGACGTTAATGGAAAGTTTTAACTGATTACTATTCATGTTATAAATATGAGTAACTTCCCTTGTCCTATAATTTTCGTATTTAGTGGCAAGACATTTACTTGAGGATAGTTTTAGGTTAGAAGAATTATTGTTATTAGTGAGATGTCATAACTGAAATCAGGTTTTACTTCTTCGTCTTGCAGTAAAGCAACCCATAAGCTTCAATACAATCTCTAAAGCACTTCTCAAATCTAGAAAAAATAATAAATAACATTTACATAGGACTTTGCAGCTAAGCAAGCCTTTTACAAATATTTGCCTCTTTCATTTTAATTTTATCATTTAAGTTGATTTACAAGTGAATATAACATTAAGGAATCTTTTTTTCCCAATTTAAGAAAAAAATATTTTAATTCCCTTCTAAAACAACCATTTCTGAATTCAGCTAGTGCCCTTTTAAAATTACATGCTGCACTGATATTTGTGGCTATGAGTTGTGTGCTTCATATTTTATAACTTGGTTATTTTTTCCCCCAGGACAGAAGTTGTCATTTATGTTGTTGAGCGTTCTCCAAATGGTACTTCCAGGAGAGTTCCAGCTACAACACTATATGCCCATCTTGAGCAAACCAATATAAAAACACAGCTACAGCAACTTGGTGTAACCCTTTCTATGATGAGAACAGAACTTTCTCCTGCACAGATCAAACAGCTTTTACAGAATCCTCCTGCTGGTACGTTTCTAGACTCAACAGCTTGAGGAAATGAGACCTACAAATGTATGCTTCCTCTATTTTGGGAGGTGTTGGTTGGTTATTAATGGTAATAAAACCAGTGTCAGCTTGTCATGTCTGCTTATTTGGGACATAGTTTTGAATGTTTTTATTGTATTCATTCACTCATCTAGTTTTTTTATTATATAGCTAATGTTAGAAATTTTGGGACATGATCTAAAGAAAGGTAGTCCATAGTCCATCTACCTAAAGGTAATTTACTCTTTATATTTTGATTTATTTTTTTCTGGTTTATCTCTTATTTTAACTGAGTCTTCAAGTAAAACTTGAATGTGTTATCACCATAAAGGATTCTAGGGTAGCATAACGAGATTGACTATATGACAGGCCCTCTTTATCTCCCTTCCACAGAAGTAACTACTATTAATAAAATATTGTGCTTATTAAATTATTAGTCCTTTATGATTTTAATATAAGCATATGTACATGGAAGTCCTTAAAAAGGATTCTGCCCTGTATATTTACTGCGACTTGCCCTTTCACTTACAGTATTTCTTAGTACTTTCCCTGTCAGTTAGTTCATGAAGGCAAATCTTACTCTTTTTGAAAACTATGTGGCATACCATGGATGTACCTTACATCACTTAAACCTCTGATTTTTTTCTATCTTTTCACTATTATAAACTATGCAACAATTAACATCCTTGTAAATATGTCTTAGAACACATAGGTATGTATTTTTTGGAATAGATCTCTGATAATGAAATTTTTGAGTCAAGATCATGTATACTTTATATATTGTTAGATATCCAAATGGCTCTCCAGAGAAAGTTCTACCATTTAGATTCATAACAGGAATGTGTTGTTTTTCGCATATTTTTCGTTTTTCTAGTATTTTCTCATTTTGCTGTTTTGTCAGCAGTAAAGATTATCAGTCTTTTAGATTTTGCCACACTGATGGCAAAATATTAATACCTATTTTCATTTGCATTCCCCTGATTACTAGTAAAGTTGAGCATCTTTTTGTATGTTTATTAGGCATGTTTATATTTTTTGTGAACTACCTATTCACATCCCTTGTTCATTTTCTATTAAATATTTTTGTCTTCCTTTCTGATTTATAGGAGCTCCTTCTATATTCTGAAGGTTAATCTATTATCCTATAGGTTATAGGTATTTCCTTTCTATACTTTTTAGCTTTATCTTAGAAAATTTTT